TTCCTCAAGGTGAATACATAATTATTGAAAAATGATTTTTGAAATTAACAAATCAAGTTGGAGACTGTTCACTGATAGGTCTTTCTCTGATGCTACAAAACTATTTACTTAGAATGAATTATACTTTTAATATATGATAAGGTAAAAAAATTGAATTTGATTTATAACTAAGCAAGAATTAAAGTTTACAAATACTTGATATACTTTTATTTACATTGAAATGTACAACTTAAATGTAATGAAACCTCAATAATTGCAGATAGATATTCTTTCTTTGAAGTTACTCGTGAATGGTATCATGATTTTGTCACACAAGGAATTAAAAATTGGCTGTACATTTATTATAATTGTTGTTGATGTTATTATTATTATTACTATTATTATTATTATTATTATTATTATTTCAATATCTCATGGGGTCTATTTTATCTTATTTTAGCCTATTACCAAGAATTAATTTACTCATATATATTGGCTATCTTAATTACATAGTTCAACAAAATCATAATATGAATCAGGAGTAACTTCAAAGAAAAAATACCTATGTGCTATTATCGAGTTCTTACCTGTTGATCATTGTTAATGTGACTTCCGCTCTCAACTAACAAGATGTATGTATGAATTATGTTAATTTTAAACTTTTGATTTTGATACTTTTATGTGAATCATTTGTGTTTTCTAGTTCATGACATATACAAAGATGGAAGATCATGTTCTTTCAAAACATTGTTACATACTGATTGTGTAGGCCTATTTGAAATAAATGTTAATTATTATTTTAAAAATTATTGTTTTAATATTGACTGCCTATAATCCTACAGAACATGTCAATTAAGTATTAAGTTTATTTACTTGTAACATTTTCGTAAGAAAAATAATTTTTGGACAAAAATCCATTATTCAAATGCTCTAATTTAAATCCACAATTAATGCATTAACGTCTGAACTACAAACTCAACGTTAAACAAAACTCCTAAGATTTTCGAATTCACAATGAAAAAGGGTCGAAATGCTAATTACTAGTTAGATAAATCTATAATACATTCATTCAGTAACTTATTCAAAATCAAATTACTTCTCTGTTGAAAATGGTCGTTTGGTGTTGCAACATTACCAATCTCTCTCCATTCTACGTAAGTAATTATACGAGAACGTAAAAATTCCCAGCAATTGAGACAAAATGGCAATGTCTTGAGAAAAAACAACCGTATATAGTTAAGTACTTGAATAATCAGTAATTTACATAGAAATAGGTACAGTACCTACGAATATATGGAAAATGTATAAATAAACGTAGGTACAATGTAATATGCGTAGTAATGTAGGTAGTATCGCGATATTCAAGTAACGCGGTATACGAATTAAATTAATGAGATTTTCCAGACAGGAATGTCAGGAGTCCCGCTTAGGAGGAAATTCGGTTGTATGGGTACCAAAGGGTACGACAATCTCACGTAGAAGTAGGCCTTTGGGAATACAACGTAAAGAAAAAAAAACCCATCATGGAATAAAAATAATACTTATCGCAGTCTTCATACAATTTTCTTAATCAGTAAAAAAACCTGACGTGTGATGAACATAAAAACGTAATATATAACATTCCAATTTGGCAATTATAACGTTTTTATGTACATGTATATGTACAGAGAGTTTGATTCTTGTTAAGGCGGGAAATATCCAAGCCAAAATGCATCTGCCACTTCGTAACTCATTGACTAGTTCAACAATTTTTAAAACTCATCGTGATACAATCATGCAATCACAAGCTCAAATAAGGGCATGTGGATAGGGAATTCTAATTGATAAATGGAAATTCAAATCGTCACAGCATAAAAATTAGTGTAATTGCAGGGTCGACGTAAGTACGTCCAACTACTAGAAGGCATTTGAAATCGTGTTGAGTAAAATAAAGACATTGGCAACAAATTAAAAATATCAAAATGTGAGTTTGAAAAAGTCAATGTGCCCAGGGTATACGATCGTTATTAGTACAATCATATGTAACTTCCACAAGCAAGAATATGAACGTAGACTGGAGAAAAAGAATTCAAATTACAGAAATACAAATAATCAACCACAAAATGATAATACAAATGTCCACGTAAATTCGATTAAACAATATAAAGTAAATATTAAAGCGTTACTATGTTTCAACAATGCACCATTATGTTGATTGTGTTATATCACACAACCGGAAAACGAATAGGTGGATATTAAGAAAAAGATAATGTACATTAACAAAGATTTTTTTCATTCACATTTACTTACTTTCGGGTCAAAGCTGATATCAAAACTTACCAACAAACAAATCATGTCCTTCGAAAGTCTAGTGATGACAATTGTTAAAGAATATAGTAAGATTTTCTTTCCGATGTATTGTGTATTGCCATCTTTACCAATTATTGACCAATTCATCATGAAGATGCAGGAGAAACGTTTCCTAAAACGGCTAAAAAAAACATAAATATTAGCATAGGATCTCCCGCGAACCTGCTCCTTCCATTCGCTGAACCTACACTGATTGGCGGTTACCAATCAAACACGACAGGTGTCGAAATCAGGGGAGGTTGGCGCTCTTTTAACGTTTTTGGCGCCCATTTCATGAATTTTTTAAATTAAACCAATTGTATAGAAATAAGATCATTTAATATTTATGTTTTCAATAGTATTCACAGTTTTTTCTTCAAAACAATTTAAACAACTTGCAACAATTGATTTTAATTTAAATAATATGCAGGTGAAACAGAAACAAGTGAACGGGGTTTGCTATTCTTGCCGCTAATATAACATTGTCACAAGAACTTACCCAGCCGGTAAAAATGGCCGGAGCAAATCACGAAATTATGAAGCAAAAAATAATTTTGGAGGAAAAAAAATACTCTTGCCTTAAAATGGTATATTGTGTAGAAAATTCGAACATATTAACCCTCCTATTATGAAAACAATGATAAATTGATTATTACAAGGACCAGAATGCAAAATTGTAGTGGTTTGGCAAAAGCAGAACCACGCGAAAAATACATGAACATAGAAGGAATATCATGTAGTGTTTATAGTTATCTATTAGCTGTATCTATTCGCAAGAATTATTCAATGTGAAAGTATGTACTTCACTTCCATGCTAACTAATTCTAAAGGAATATGTGATAGTGTTTGGAAATCTAAACAATGTATAGTCGACAATAACTGAAGGTAATTGTACAGGAGTACACAGTACATTCTGATATCAAATTTAACTGGTAGCATTTGAATTTTCTGATTACTGCCTTCGTGGAAATGAAATACATATCAACGACTGAGTGAAAATGAAATACAGATCATGTTCAGTTGCATTGTAGATTAATTATCAGAAATTTATTGTTATGACAGGTTTGTTTGTATCACTCACTAACTCACTATATACTCTCACACTCACTATATACTCTCTGCACTCACTAAGGATGTACTGGTATTTGTATGAAACCGAGAGAACCGGCGAGGCGATAGAATTATGGTTTGTTTTTGAAAAAATAAAATTTGCTGAGTTCATCAAGCAAGGCATAAAGTGCTTTTGGCGGAGCCAATTGCTTGCTTTTTTTTTATCAAAAGGAATGAATCACAACGATAAACCAGTGATGTAAAAAACAATTTCGGTCGAAGGAAATTTTCTAATTTTCAATCATTAAAATGAGTGTGACAAAGATACATCTTACGTTTCGTAATATGTACACAGTGTGCCTATAGGTGACTCATGTATCTTATCACCTGTAAATTTTGAACGGTTGAAGTTTTTGCAATTCAGTTTTCATGGAGGTGCATGAGAGAATGTGGCTAATTGATGTTTGTATTCGTTTGTATTTTATCTCTTTATTTTACGAGTTATTGAGGTAGCTTTGGGTTTTTCGAATTGAACTATGTATATTATTTAGTCAATCACGACGAGCGTAAAAAAATATTAAATTTATTATATTCATATTGTCATATGTGCGGGATGTTTTGAACGGATATTGTAATGTGTAGGGTGCTCTCGTGGCTCAGTGGCGAAGGCGCTTGCCTTTCTCCACTGACGGGACACACACACACACGCGCAAGCGCGCACACACACGCACCCAGAGAGTATATTACGCACGCACCCCCCACACCACCCCCCACGCGCGCGCGGTTCCGTAGGTGGGGCGAGGGACGTAGGGTTTTAGTGGGTACTATCTACGGATGAGTCCCACACGAAGAGAGAGAGAGAGAGAGAGAGAGAGAGAGAGAGAGAGAAAATTATTATTATATTATTTGCATGTCATATATGCACAATTCCGCGTATTCGAAGGGCATCGTAATTTAAGGCGACCCTGTCGGCGCCCATAGGTTCTACAGGCAGCGATGTGAATATCACCATTCTCACATAGATGACGTTTAAATAGGTTAATCAAACGATATTTTCATTTGAACTATAACTTCGTTTTTTATAACGTGGCGCGTAGTATTCTAAACATGTCCTCGATCTCCTGCCACTCATAGACTCTATGACATAGAGTAGAGATATTGTATCTCTCCTCTATGCTGTCACTCGTTCTTCGCTTTTGTTCACCGAGCCACGGTGCAATATATCTTACACCGTGGCCAGAGATATATGTCTTACCCACAGAGAGCTTTATACAGAGAGTATAACTCTTATATTATTAATATTATACTCTATAATATTATTATTATTAACTATATATCTCTCTTTATAATAAGCTTTATATGTATACATTTTAGTTTATATAGTTGTGATCACCGAACTTACACCGTGTGTGTGTGTGTGTGTACAAATTGCATACAAAGAAAATGCATATCTGTGCGCGCTTCAGTTATTAATAAATATGTGTATCGTGTAGAAAATTGAAAATCGAAATCCGAAATTCATTAACCCTTCGTGAAGCTTATTGCGGGAGTGTAGTGAATGTATAATGTACGGTATTACGATGGTTGAAGAAGCATACGCGTTTTGGTGTGGCAAAATATTTCTGAAAGTATTGAGGATATAGTGACTTGTCCTTATTGTTTTCTGCGATGGAATCTGATCAAGCAGGTGCATCAGCGTATGAAGCGCAAATGAATCCGAGACGCAGAACTTTAGTGTCCACAGTTTCATGTTTATTAAATGAAATTGCCATCGACAGTGCTGATAATGCCTCGATAGAAACATTGACTGAAGTCATTGAAAGCATAATTGTTGAAATAGGATCCAGTAGTCGTTCGTATTGTGAATTATCCGGGCGGACAGAACCTGTGATAGGTGATGTTATTATGGCCCTCGTTAATATGGGTCTCAGCTTAGAAGGAATAGAACAGCATGCATACCGAAGTAACGCAAGTGTTTTAGCGGCACCACTTACAGGAGTCAATCCTAAAACGCTCAACATATTGCAAGCTGGTGTAAAACAAAGTCACCCTTGTTATATTCCTACACATTTGCCATTTTTTCCCGATCCACATGCCTATATAAGAACACCAACACACAAGCAACCAGTGACAGAATATGAAGCTATCAGAGAGAAGGCTGCTAATCAAAAAAGGGATGTGGAACGTGCCTTAACAAGATTTGTTGCTAAAACGAGCGAGACTCACAGTTTATTCTTGAGTGAAGATAACAACATGTTTCCTTTAATTGCATGTAATACACAATTTCCAGTATACCTGAAAGCTCTGCTACCCAGTGATCAAGTATTTGATTTTGAAGAAGAGTTTCCTTCAAGTCCTCAACGATCAAGGAAGTGTCGTGAGACTGAAGAGGATGGTGAAGAAATTAAAGAAGGAGAAGAGAGTGGGAAGGGTGAAAGTGATGTCATAGATAATCCCTATTTACGACCAGTGAAAGTTCCACGCAAAAAGAAAAAGTCTTTGTGATGGTTTGATTTCTTCCTAATAGTTTTTGAAGCAATTCAAATTCCAGCTATTAAGGAATATAAATTTCTTATGCCCTAAATTAATGAAAGTCCTGAAGGGTAAAAAATAATCATTGTAGAAGTACTTCACAAGAAATTTCATTAATAGTACATTCAGTTTAAGACAATCAGTTACATCATATAAATATTCAATCAAATAAATCAATATAATCTTTATTTGCCAATTCAATAGAAGTGATTGTTGTTAAGTGATTCTTAATTCCCAATGATAGTTTTTCGAAGATATTTTACTCTCTCATTAATTTTATAAACTATCAAAAAGCAGCCAAAAACTATGTTTAATTGTGACATAAAATTCAATTTTTTATGATTTAATTTGCATTATTGAGTATGGTTCTAATACTTTTGTGTATATGGTATTGTAAAGCAGAAACAATGAAAATCCTTCCTACCTGCTTATCTGTGCAGTATTTTACTTAATTTGTGCAGATGTAGTGATATAAACATTGCTTTTTTTTGTTTGAAATTCTGTGATTTTGCATACAAATGGTTAAAATAGTCCTAAATCTATTTTGCATAAACACATTGAGTGTACATCAAACATTCTGTTCAGTGTATGTATTTAATTTGTGTGAATTTTACTTTTATAAAGTTGTTAATAAAATGTCTGTTTTCTAATCTGTCTTGTCTCTATTTTTAAAATGACCTTTACGACATAATGTTGATTTGGGTAGTAGAGATAATTAAAGCAGCTGCATTGTAACTTTCACAGATTGGTGGTTGCTTGTTCAAATCCTTCCTAGGGCATGGATACTAGCTAGTGTGTTTTGTGGCATGGTTGGGCATCCCCAACCGACTCCTTCCCTTTGCCTTGATATATTCACTGTCATCCCCATTCATCATCACCTCCATATCTTGTAAAGAAAAAAAAGAGTTAATATGCCCATACAGTGGATGTATGAGGAAGGAGGTGGTGGACGAAAAATAAGAGATGTGCTGGATCAGTTGTGCTGCTGTGTATTATTTCTAAATGTTGTGGTGCAGCAATGGTTACAGCAAGTTACGTTATCCTCGAAAGGAGAGAATTCATGAAAAGTATGTTAATTAATTATTTCATTTGTTAGTAAATAGCAAGTCTTGGTGAACCTTTTGTGAAGAAAGTGTAGCAATTAAAAAATATTTTTATTTAATTACCCAGCTCTCCCTGCCAGAGGCAGGTTGGGTAGATGGAGACCCATCTTAAAAAATATGCTCTCCAATATTTCAAATAAGTATTCAAGCACCTTATTGGTTTGATGGCTTCACAATTGTACCAAACTTACGGGAGTCCTTGTCAGGTTGTTAAGTGTAGGTGAATGAATTGAAAATTGATCCACGCCTTGTACAATCAAGTAAGCCCTCAACTTGTTTCTGAGTTGTAAAACTTATATCATATCTTACTTCTATCTTTCAATTTAAAATATTACGTATTCTGAAAATTAAAATATTAAAAATAAAAAGAGTTCTACAAGTCAAAAGATAGAATGTCTTTACAGCCTATGAATTGAGAAGTTAGGGTTCTTTAATCTATTTGTCATTAATGGTGACTCAGTAAATTTAATAGGTAGCTTTCATGGAACGGTCCCTTATAAAATATGTTGAGACGAAAGAAGTAATATCCAAGGTTGAAATAATGGTAATTTTAATCTACAGTATACCACTCCATTTTCAAAAAATGTATTGTTCTGTCAATATTTCATTGGGATGTACGTAAGTTCATTTTCATGTCTTTTGACCATCCCTCCTATTGATGATTGGCTATCACCACTGTTAGAGAAACGGATGTGTGATGTATTGGGATTATTTCCAAAATATAGAGCAGACAAATGTTAACTTATAATTAAATTTTTATATCTATTATTACACATGGAATTATTCATCAACTTAATTTTCATTAGATAAAATGGAATTGGGTGTTCCAATGATCAACTCACCTGATAATATTTCACTTACAAAACAAAATGTGTCCAAAAGTTAGAAGAACTTAATGTTTACCTCATTATTTTTATGGTTCGATATTATGTTCAGTTATTCATTTAGTATTCGTAGTAGAAATTCAGTATTGCATTAAAACTTATTTTCTTTCTTGTGCACTCTATTGAATGGAATTAGGAAATTTTGACTACACTGTGTTATTCAAACTGTGAGGTGTGACAGTTTCAGAAGGGAAGTGTGAGAACTTTGGATTTTCAACCATGGCAGTAATTAAGACAAAATACTTCTATACACCCTCAGAATGAGATCTGTATTACCTTTTGTAAATTAATGCAGAGATTCAATGAACTGAAAACATCAAACAAATCCACCCTTCTCACTTTTTTGAGCTATCCATATGTTCACTTTTTATAATTTTCCTTTCAGTTTTCAACATTTTGCCAAACAATAAGTAAATTCAGTAATCAGAAAAGTGAATAGTGCAAATCACTTGCAATAATTATTTTGTACACTGTACAAACTACAAACACTAATAAAAAGTATACATAATGAATGGCAGGAGAAAATGTTTAATTATTTTTAACAAATTAATTTTATATGAGGGGAAGTGTGTGCAGAATTTGTTACCTGAAAGGAGTCAGAGCAACAAAAAGTTTGAAAACCACTGCTGTTTAGTAATGAAGATTGGATACTAAATAAGATCAAGATTTTAACATCAACATTGAATAACAAACAAGTAACAATCTTTCTAATTTACTGTTTTGGAATCAACTTTTTGCTCCTTTCTCTATAACTTTGCAAAAGTTTGCATTTCAAATAACAATATCATCAATGAAATCCTAAGGCGAGCACAGCATAAAGCAAGAGGGGGAGGCGCACCTATTTGTCTGGGACTCCTTTTCCACTAAAATTTTGAATATATTTTTGCTGTGTTTTCCTTGTAAATAAATAAATCATACTTCAATAAGAATTAAATTATACAACTCATTTTATGTTGAACCATTTGCGGGGTTTGAAAAGCTTCTTTCATAAATGTTGGGTGCCCCAAAGTATCAATTTAAAAAATAGGGAAAAAGAGGTATTTAAAATTTCCGAATGAAAAGGGGAATTTTCAGAATGAGAATGATTGTATTACCTAGGGCCATAGGGTCTCTTTGGAAATTTTCAAGCCTGCTCCTTCCCCTGCCCCCCGACCCTTGGGCACCCCTACAATGGAAATCTAAAGCATTGTTTTTGTTTGTTTTTTAATACAAAAACAAGTCCAAATTATAAGCATGCAAAACTGCATCATCACTATTAATCATCTTTCACATTTCTTCAAAATAATCATAGATAGAACTTGCATATTATATCAACAATTATTAATTTTTTGTGTGTGACTGTTTATGTGGTACACATTTTAAGATATTTGTTTTTACATAACTCATTTTGGATTTCGATGGCATTCAGCTTTCCCATTCTTCAAAAGAAATCTTTAATGTGCCCCATAATTACATAATTATCTTTCATCATTAATAGTAATTTACAGGGTAAGAGAGGTTTTTCAATCACTGCTCTGGTTGTTTTATTATATGTTGAAAGTTTCGTGCAATATAATTTTTTGCAATCTTCAAAACATCTGCTGTTAGATATTGCAAACATTCTTGTGATCTAAAGCTGGAGAGAATATACAAGTTGAGTTGATAAGTGAAGGTCATCTCTAGAGTAGATATTAAACACATACATTTGTATTCTGTTCTTTAAATCTTTGTTTTTGAAACTATAAGAGTACAATGTTAGAAGAGATGAAAGGATTAAAAATTAGGTATGGTAATAATTTGTAACTGCACTTTATCATGAAACCAGAAATCCCTCTTTATTTTTGGTATGTTAGTAATTATCAAGTGTATGAGTTTACACAAATGTTTAAAAGTAACTAAGGAAGTAGTCTTAAAGCCTTTGTATAATTTCAGCACATTGATCCGATTGAAAAGGTAGAACGCCGAGTTGTTACATAATGGTGCATATTAGTTCAGCAGTACTGATAAAAAATACTTATTTAATAAAATTTAGAATGAATCATTCTCATTATTTATGAAAACTCAATTTTGTGGAATCATCATTGGTAGTGAATGCTGCTAAAATTTGTGTTATGCGTTACCGTAATCCTCAAATACAGAATACTCATCCTGAGAATGAAGTAATTAATTTTGCTTGATTTCAGTACAGCTGATCTGGATTGATATACATTTTTTATTGAAATATATTCTTGGACATTGCTTTAAGGGAAAACTTCAATATATTTTTCTTACATGTTTACGAAGTCTTCTTACTGTCACCCTAATCTGTCACAATTAAAATTTCAGTGATCACACATATTTGTTGTTGAAGGCTTTCACAGTCAAGAATCTGCCCATTAGGAGATGCTGCATCTTAGCTAACTTTGTAATTGTTTCACCTGCCATGCTGTGGCCTTCTTCATGGAATGAAACATAGATTCACAGCATTGCTTCCTAAAATATGCCATAGACTAGAATGCAGGTTCCCCAGACTGTTCAGATCTCTTAAAGACCTTTTTAATCTTTGAGAATGAGTTGGGTTTTACAATTTCTAGAGCTTTGATCTGAAGTAGACATTGTGAATTAATTTTGGAATGAACAATAGAAATAATAGAACAATAGAAATGCTTCATATGTTTCAAAATAAAAGGTAGTGAATACAAAATAATTAAATGTACACTTGATATGTTAATAATAATAAAATTATGATAAAAGGTCCAATTAATTCCTCTTTTTGCTTTCTTCAGAAGTGTATAATGAAACTGAAACACTATCTTTGTGCTAACACATGATAAAAAAAATGTTATTTAACAGGTCTCAATTGATGCTGCAGTAATATCACCAACTTAAAAGAAATTAATCAAACATGATTGAGGTGCTTTTAGATCAGCAAGATCGTTTCCAGTTTCGTTATTTTAGAGAAAGGTTTATCTTATTTATAATAATACATATCCACTTCTTTAGTTAAGAATCTCCTTAATTTCAATTATATAAACAGTACTCTTGTTAATTTTGTTTTTGTGTCTTTTCATAATTTTTAGTTCAGTATATTTCCAATTACATTTTTACTAGTCCTTTTCAATTCATTAATTTACTTTTCTGACATATTAAACAAAATCTTGAATATAAATCTCTCTCTTTAATTTATATATCCCTACCATAAAATTCGACTATTATAAAACTTTTCTTGCAACATTTTTTAATTATTAAAAGATATTTTCCAACAAATGTTGTTCCATTTAGATGCTTGAAAAGAAAATGCAGAAGTTACTGTTAACTCTGACCAATGACCTGCTAGTGTGGATGTGGACAGGATCGTACAAATGTGAGTAATTATTTCCAAATGGCAACAAGCAGTAATGTGCTTTATTAATATTTTTAGACATTTTAAAAATCTCTTTTGTCAAATCATTTCAGTGCCTAAGAATATACAGTAGTATATTTCATATCATGTTTTAAACAACCAACAAAAACAAAAGCTTGAAGCAATATTAGCGAAGAGTATATAAAAAGTTGAGACTCATCGTCATTATCATTATTTTCATCACCATACTTTATCAGAAAAATGATCAAATTTGATTCTGTCTTAAACTTTTAACTAGGTAGTAATAATACTGCTTTTTAATTGAGTTATGAGCTTCTTTAAAAAATAAAATTGTTCACAATTCTTTTATTATATTGTCTGAGATAATGTATTATTTCTGCAGTGATTAAAAACCATCTTCAAATGGTTCAGCTGGTGCAGTGTACATATGCCCACTTACAAACAAGTCATCTGTGGATATGTATAGAAGTCAAGGTATTAAAATATAAGTACTCTTCAGAGGAGAGAAAAGGAAACAGAAAAGGGCAACAAGAATGGACAAGTAGTCAGCATGTAAACCTAAAACAGAGAGGGTGGAAGTACAATTAGTTACAAGTTGTTTATATGTATACATGTTCTTACCACTTATGTTAAATCATGTCTTAGTGAATGTCCCTTGTATTGAAATAGAATATAGGGACAAATGTGAACAACAGTATTTACTCAAATGCAATATACCAGTATTGCAAATCAAAGGTTTCTTTTTGTTTTCACCATGCACTGATTTGGAAGATTCTACTATATATCTGGGGTCATGACACTAAAATTGTTCTGAGATATTTCAATCATATACAATAATCCTTGTAATTGGTTCATTACCTAATTGTATATTCTATGCAGACATTTCTGCAAATTTTCACATATATGAAATTTGTATATATATATATGTATATATATTAAAATGCAGTATCAAGAACAACTCTTTAGTTGACATTCCACACAATGAGTCAGAAACAATGAGGAACGCAATGTTTGAAACTTTCTTCAATTCTATTTAATTGATATGGTACTTATTGTAGTACTTCACCTGCATTTAATTCATTAAAACAATTATTTTGGTTTGAGAAAATATTACCAACTATTTGTTAGTAAAAAAATTTCCCAAATAAGATGTAAAATTAGTAGGTATTGCAAAGTATCAAAAATGAATTATAAATTTTATTCCTGTGTGTATAGAGAATGTCTCAGAATATATGTTAAAAACTTCTAGGACAAATATGATCACTTTTTGTGCATAAATATTGTGAAAAATGTCGTATATAATGAAGTTACATATGTTACATTAGCCTCTGGTTGGTGTGCAGCACATCATGCTCTAATGCAGTCATAGAGATTTCACGTCTGGTATGATGAGCTGTCTTCCAATTTTCAGCAAATGTCATAAGTGTAACTTAGTAATATGAGATTTATTACATAATCATTGGCAAAACGTGATCACCTTCAATCCCTTACATGCCCTATAAGTTGGTAACATTTATGAATAACATGACATTCTGTATAACTGGTAATGCTTTCTATTTCAAAGTGAGAAATCATCCTAAAAGGAATATATTTATTATTAGACTAATAAGACAGCATTACTGATATTACAAAAATAATTCTTTAAATAGTATGTCAGTCTTTACACCTTGACTTGCAAAAACTGACATTTCAGTCTTAAACATATACATATTTGTGCAACATGATAAACCTAAATTCAATTACGATGAAACAATCAGACATTATTGCCATCTGTAATATATACAAAATTTCATAGTGATATATGAATACTGAGGCATTTCAATATCGAGGTAATCAAAATTCAGCCAGAACTAACTTAGAGGAAATACACCATGTTTGTGAAAACACTTTAATAAAGTATTTTGCTATATAATTTTTAAAATGAAATTTTAAGGAATGCAATTTTACTCTTGAAAGAAATATGTTCTTAAAAAGATGAAACCTAATCATCAAATATATTGTGGAAAAGCAGGCTGAGAAGAAAATATTGTGGAAAAGCATAAGACCATTTCGTTGCTAGAATTTTTTGTTTTGTGTAATATGATAAACTCTCTCTACATCATGATTCACCATATTATGTGAAATATATTTTTTTAATTGTAGATCCTGAAGAGAAATAAGATTATGTTTACAAAAATCTTTTTTCCTGGTTATTTTGACTGTTTTGGATATATTTATAATTTGTATCTATATATTTTCTCCTCACCTATTTTTTTGTATTTGGAGAGCCATTTTATTTAAAATTGTTGGCATATCTATTTCTTCTTCTTTTTTTGATGATTTACTCCATATCTCTGCATTTTTCTAAATTCAGACAGCAAAAGATTTTGTGTCAGTATTTAAAGAAGACCTAGATTGTCAAACTACTGTCCATGCAAGATTGTTCAGATTATTGGTAATAATCAGTGTCATTCTGTTTATGAATCAGTTCTACACTTGGAAGAACGCAGAGTGGTTAGTTTCTCTTGTCCAAAATTACTCTCTATTATATACCTCTGCATGAGTGCCTCTGTATATCTAATTTACAGCTCTATGGTCGTGAAGAAAGTTGCATCATTGCTATCAAACATTCTTGAATCATTGAAAATGAGGCAAAACATTTGTTTACCAATATCAGGCCAGATATCACAGAAAAAAGACTTTAAAAAATTTAGTGATGGAGAGGAATAAAACCCCAAAGGTTATTACAGAAGTACTAAAAAAGGAATTTAAGGTAATTTTTTGAAAACTTGAAGGAAAAAATAAATGGAAGAGAACAGGAAGCAAGCTGGTGAAAAGGGGAAAATTTGAAAATGGATTTCAAAAGAATATCCGTTACGATATATTCTATGATAAAGTCAAAAGAGTAGCTGACATTCCAAATTATGTTACTGGCATGTGAATATTGCATTTAATATTGTTTATAAATATTTAACTAATTTATATTACAAACAACATTTGTTAAACAATTTTTTTGCCTTTTTTATTAAGCAAAAGCAAATTGTCTGTAAAGTTGGGTAGCATTTAATTTATATTAAAATTTCATTTCAAGTTCCAATCTTTATTTTGCAGTGTGTTAAATATATTGTCCTAATGTGAATATACTGTACAAGCTTCCCTTAGGAAATATAGCAACTTGCACATCACCCAACATCACAGAAAACTAAAGCTACGTTAGTAACAAAATATAATCTTGAGAATTGAGAAACAATTAGACAAACAAATCCGAAGTCCGCTTCCTTGACTAATATGCACCAACAAAAAGTAATATTCCTTTCCGATGGTTAAAATCGAGAAAACAGAGTGTAACTTTCAAAACGCACTCTGAATCCATTTCACCTTTCCGATTAAAAGCTGCTGTGTGCATGGACTAGATGGTTGGATAGTTAACTCATATTTTCAAATAAACCTCTCCGGATCGGTCATGCAGCTATGAATGCTATACATGTGCGAGCGGTGCGCTCACCGCGCCAGCACGCCCAGGCTGCGCTTGGTGGCGGACGAGTCGGGCAGCGCGAGCGCCCACTTGCGCAGCCCGGTCAGCACCACCGAGCTGGTGACGAGCACGGCGCCGCCGATGCTGTAGCGATTGGGCACTTCCTGGAAGAAGAGCACTTGCCAGATGAAGGCGAAGACGATGTCGGCGGAGCGCGCGATGGCCACGGGCCCGGCCTGCTCCAGCTGCAGGGCCAGCGTGAGCAGGATCTGCCCGCCGAAGCTGAAGAGGGCGAGGGCCACGACGAGCGCGCGGTCCCAGCCGCAGCGCGGCACGCACAGCGCGCCCAGCGCCCACGTCACCAGCAGCGTCTGCGCCAGCGCGAAGCACCCGAAGTTGCTCATGATGACGGAGAAGTGCAGGCCCTTGAGCGCGCGCAGCAGCACGTAGGCGTTGGCGCCGAACAGGGTGGCGGCGAAGGCGGCCACGGCGCCCCACAGGTCGCTGCTGGCCCCCGCTCCGCCCGCGCCGTTCGAAGGCAGTTGCTCGGCCAGCGCCGGCACCGCCCGCCCGAACAGCAGCGGCGGCCGCGTGATCAGCACCACGCCCACCAGCGTCAGGCACACCGACAGCGCGTTGAAGAGGCCGCACGGCTCCTTGAGGAAGAGGCGCGCGAAGATGGCGACAAACACGGGCACGCTGAAGACCACCACGGACGCGTCCGCCAGCGGCATGTGGCGGAAGGCGTAGAAGCTGAGCATGAGGCCCGTCGTGCCCACGAACGAGCGCAGCAGCAGCATGGCGCGCCGGCCGCGCGGGAACGGGCGTTCGTTGCGCCACAGCACGATGGGCACGGCGGGGAGCAGCACGCCCACGAAGCGGCACGCCGCCAGCTCCATGGGGTGCACGTCCACCAGCCACTTGACGATGACGGAGCACAGCGAGAAGAAGAGCGACGACAGCGTGGCCAGCAGCAGCCCCAGGTACGGGCACGGCCGGCAGCACAGCGAGCGCGCCACCGCCGCCGCCGACGAGCACGACGAGCGCCGGCGCGCGCCCGACGCCGACGCCGTCGCCGACGCCAGCGCCGCCGACGCCGACGCCACCGCGCCCGCCGGCCCCGCCGCCGACGGCCCCGCCGCACACGCCATCGAAGGCCCGTTGGCCACCACGGGCGTCGACACCGCCGGCGGGCTGCACACCAGCTCCTCCTCCGCCGCGCCGCCGCTCCCTGCGCAACCGCCGACCTCCGCTCAGCGTTCAGGATGGACACAACATGTTTCAACGCGCTCGAGTCCGGGTAGTCATATGTTAGCCCGTTTCACTACAATTTATTTGAAGAAACAAAAAAAGGTTGCTATTCTTTTAGGTTCATGTTGCTGGACCCGTCAGCTGTTATGGCCATTAGTTAGCTTTGTAAATGTTTTATTCCGGGAGGTAGTGGAGTTCTTCCCGCGCTCGATTGTGAGATCCGGCGCATACACGTCGGCTTGCTGGTTTTTCTCCTCCAGATATCTCCTCCAGCATGTGTCACCCCAACCGGAACAAGCTCTATGCTCCCGACTTGTATGGCTGTATAGTGCAAGTGAGTATAAAATGTGGGGGTGCAGAGTAAAGAGAGAGGATATGACAAGAAAGTGGAAAAAGAGATCGCGCAAAGTCGGTTGCCTACAGCTCTGGCATTCTCCTGAAGTTGATCGGAAAAAGCTCAGAAAACCATGGTTGAAAGAAAACTACCGGTCAGAGCAGACGTCCGCTAGAATTCTCCTCCAGACAGCAATTGAATTCGACTCAGCTATCTAGCTAGTGTCCAAAATCCTCCGCCATTGTCCTCGAACCCTATGACTTCCCGGTGAGAGTCGCTGCAGAAACTGGGGCTCTGAGCTAAACTCAAGCGGTTGCTCTTTAGGAAAAGCATGTTAGCGTACATATTTAATTATTTCTTCAATAGTACAACGCTTAAAAGTATTGCGCACGCTCTATATTCACAAGCTTGCATAAAAGTGTCCATCTCTTAAAATAAAAACTCCCAATCATGTCACAAGCTTAATTATTGCTAAGTTCGCCGGTTTCTTGGCACATGCCTGTGCTAACACTCGGAGTGCATCACGGGGAGAAGTATGAACTATGCGGTACTTATTTTATTTACACGTAATAGGTTTAAATGTATTATCATTTCTTTACGTCGTTACTTCATTTTGAATATGAATGCAGCGCTCTAAATCATTTAATGAAAAGTTAAAATTTATTACCGTATCTCACGTCTGTCGCACAGCTTTTTCAAAATACGCACACCTTCAATAGTGACACTACATTTTAAAACGACAAATGAATGAATTATTAATAGTTGACAATAATGTATTAGATACTGTAGACAAAATACAGACAATAATGTTCATGCAACTCAACAGTAACTGTCACTTATGTAGACGGCCAGTTATATATTCCCGACTCCTTAAAATAAAGTGTTGAAAACTTTATTCACATGATAAATAAAATGAGGGAGATTTGTTGAAAGCACGTCCTACCTGCTCCGCTTCGCAGACAACACCACAGCGCTGCAGCTCGGCAGGGAATCAAAGGGAAACCCGCGTGGGCCGCCAATGGCCACGCGCATCGTTCTTTCCATCGCTCGTGTTATTTTAACTTTCTCCCCTCTCTCTGGATCCACGAACCAATCTATGGTCTGAATTTGAGATTTGTAATTGTCAAACAATTTCGCGGCAGGTTTTCTGGGAATTCTCCCTTTTGCCTGATTCTTTCCGTTTCATTTATCATTCTTTCCCCACATAACTCCTCCTCCTCCAAGTTTACAAACTACTATGTAATTAAGGCCAATAATGTGTCATGAAACGAATATCCTCGATCAATACGCATCGTGCACGGGTGCGAGTTAACGGCAAATTGTCAAGAATTCGTGCTTCCTCTGTCATTCACTATACCGTTTGCAAGATTTAGTTTACTAATAATTTTCTCCCCTCCAATTATTCCATATCTCATGTCGTTCTTGAATAATATGAATATTAACACTGGCGTGGATACAAAGGAAGGACGAGTGGGTGCGAGCGACCTACATCTCGTGACATCAACGATCTGATGTTTTTTGTTATATTATTGATGAAACTTAAGGTTATTGGAATTCAAAATTTTACATTAAATTAATAATAAAAACATAAACAATAACTTTACTTTTCCTTCTTAAGATGCGCTGTGGTGTTTGGAATTGTAAAATACTTTTCAAAGATTAATGTGTGTTAGGTACTTTATACAATATCAAAAAGTAATAATTTTCAGCGCTTTTGTAGGATTTCATGTAATGTGTAAAAACACAGCGTTCTTTATAGAAGTCATTTTTATTTGTCGTACTGCAACAATGTCATCTGGTAGTGAAATAAGGCATTACGAGGCGATTGTTTCCATTTAGCAAGACAGACGTCAGAAGTCTTTACATTTTGAAAAATAGGCAACATGGGACAAATGGTATTACTTTCATTCCAAAGGTAGCCATTTATAGCCCTTCACTTCTTTTTTTTTAATTGTGTCGTTTGGTATAAAAATGCCCAACGTTCCTTCGAAAAATCTTTGCGAGCCCACGATGTACGTGACAGCTAAACAAGTTTATGCCACGGAGGTGTGTGATTTTGTTTGCGATTGTGAACTAATTATCGTTTATGACACTTTTAAAATATTTGATTATTTATTTAATGTTTTAAAGCTATTGCAACAAGTATAAATATTTATGTATTTTACAATGTTTTAATCCAGGGGTTCCCAACAGGGCCCGTGCAGACCCCCTGGGGGTCAATGAAATTTTGAACGAGATCAATGAGTCATTTGTGGGGTCAACATCCGAACATGAACCGAATCCTGACCAGTATAATCAAGATCCCACTGGTTACAAAAAAAATGGATTTAAGTAATTATTTTCGGATATGATACAAACAATTACAATAAATTACAAATTTCTTCCTCTTTTTTAATATCTGTCGTTTATCCTCAGGAGTTAGAATGTTCAGAAAACCCAAGAAATTACAACGATGCATTGACTTTACGACGTTACTCTATTGCTTAAGAAAGTACTCTCCGCAACATGCACTGGAGAAATGTTTCTTCCAGTTCTTAATGAAACACTCGACAAATTGTAACTATTGTATTAAAATGAAGATTAAGAACTACGCTACTCAATAGTAGGAGCCTCTTCGATTAGTGAAAGTCGAGAATATCAGTGAACGAAATTGTTATATTTAAGGCATTTATGTGAATTCTTTGTGTCATGATCATGTATGCTGACTATTATAGAGAAAACGTAAGGAGGTCGAAAAATGATCAGTTTTGAAGGGATCGATGAAGGAAAGAAGTTAGAAATCCCTGTTTTAAACAAACATAACGTAAATAACACTTTTTATAGTACGATACACGTGGGTCAATAAATTAATGAATGCATTATCCTGCATTGAATATAATTTATAAGTATAACTTATTCACTCAGTGTATTGAGATATTTCATCCACTTTGGTTACCTTAAGTCAAACTTCACGAAAATGCTATTAGTGTCGCAATAAGATTTAGAAAATAGAGTTATAATAATCCATGGCCTACTATTAACAACACTGATCAGTTTCGTAATGAAAAGGAAAAATGTTTACACAATTTAATCTATGGCTTACCAACACCAACATCAGTCTGACATTTTCAGAGAATGAATAGGCAAATTTAAAGTTGATTGGAATTTGAACAAAGTGGATAAATGCGTAAGTGATACGACATGTGTATTGTAACATCTTAAGGCGGCTCCACACATTCGGTATTCAGCGAATAGCGAGCAACCGCTCGCCGAATCCCGAATAGAGTGGATGGGTAGCTTACTATTTGCCTAGTGACCAACATTCGAGGCTCTCCCTATCCACCGTGTGCCGGTCTTTTGCGCACATCGAAGGAAGATTCGCCAAGCACATCAGCTGCATCGCTCGCTACTCGCCCGATACCAAATGTGTGGAGTCGCCTTTACGTTAGTAATTATTTCCTACAAACCGATGAAACAACTTGTTTATATGCGTAGCTTCGAATTTGACGGCGAGATGTGTGAACAAAAGCCGCTCACCTGCGGGGGCGGCGCCGAGCAGCGCTGCTAGGCGACCGCGGCGGCCACGCGCGCCGTCCACCAGCTGCTGGAGCTCCAGCTGCTCCATCAGCGACGGCCCTCGCGCCGCGCCTGCTGCCTGCGTGCCTCCTGCGCAAGCACACACGCGGGCAGCCCGCTAGTTTAAGATACAGTACTTTCCGAATTCTTTTAAAAACTTGGATCCGATATTATTCCAAGATCTCATTTTGAAGACCAGTTCCAATAAATAAACAAATAAATAAATAAATAAAATTAGGTGAAATGGAACAATTTTTTAACTTTTAAAATTTTTGAAAATTCTCGTTATATGAAAATGGGGCATTACATTGTTAACGGCGTCCACTGCTTTACCTTATTAACAGAAGGAAAGAAAAATTGGAGCAATTTTCAAGAAAAATTGTAAAAGGTAGGGGCTTTTTATAAAGTTCTCCAAAAAACTAAAATATGTTTCAAATTAGAGAGAACGCGAAATCAGATATATTGGGGATTATTATGGTGAAAATCCGTTGTCTCTAGGCGCTAGAGTTGTTTACCTCGACTTACGGACGTGTCGAGAGAAAACACTTTTTTCGATGTAAAAAAAACCACAAAACTTGATTTATGATTACACCTATTGAAGAAAGTAATTTACTACATAAATTGGTGAAAAACTCACCTTTTTTGGTAATGGGGAGTCAAAAACGTGTTTTTTTTGTAGAAAAATATTTCCTTTTTATACACTACGCATACGAAAGTTCAAATGTGGAGAATGCAAATAATACTACGTGTACTCGCGTAGCTTAGCAAGAGCAAGTTGTTGGATTCAACAAAATTTTTATTAGTTGAAATTTCGAAGGAGCTTAATTACTGATCAAATCAAAACGTCTGGAAATCCTTTCACACCCGTGCATCGCCTTTAATAAACTGGACGATGAGTAGTGGGAAAATGACCACTTTACCAAAAGAGAATGATTGAACGCTCATATTTTCGCAAGTATGGTTTTGTCAGTTTCCTTTCTCATTACCGTAATTTTAACGCAAGTGAAGTAAATAGAAATATGAAACAAGGTAATTTTTTACTTTGAAAATTTGTTAGGGACGAGAAGTTGGAGAATGTTGTACATTTAACTACTCAAGATAAAATAAAGTGCTTATTCTGTAAATTTATCGCAGTCCCGTTTCGAAATGACTTTGATCAGTAGTTCGTACAATTGTTTGTTTCAGAAATACTAAATTACTCACAGCAGACTTCGTGAGAATAAAATTTGGCATGTTCTCTGAAATCATTAGTATTTATAAATCCTAACCCGCTTTCTTCCTCGTGATGTCAGATATATCCGGTTCTTACCTTAGGTGCTCAGGTGTATCATCAAATTTTACGAGAGATGTGAGAAAGTAACAAGCTTTGTTTTTCCGAGCTAAAAAGAGAGGAGTCTTGCCAAGTTGCACATTTACACCGCACAAAGCACAGAAAGCCTTACTGCACGTTGCATCACGCATCTGCGAGACCACCCACGATTGAAGGGCATCCGGCCGCTTGGACGAGCAGTGTTTGTGGCTCAGGCCGTGGACGAGGCAAGTTCAAATTTATTATCTTTTTCCTTACTAACATGGAAATGGGCGAGAACTTACTAAAATCACCCGGGATATTTGTGGTTTAGAATAAGTTGTTTGCGTCAAATACAAATGTCGTGCCGGTTGATGGCGGGGGAAATCATATTTAGTGCTTAGAAGCACAGCAAGTCTCAGCGAGAGCTCTGTAGAGAAGTAGATCCTTTGACATTATTACATTACCATCGATAAGCCTGACGAAGTGCTCAGTGAATTACGATCAGCTGAGATGAGATTCAATCATATTTAACGAGATCCGACATTCACGGCGACACTCGGACATCCCAAGCAATTTCGCAAGTCAAGATTATACTTTGATGCGTTGCACTTGGTAGTTTGTTGTGCAGCCTACAAGTCCGTTGAACGTGACGTGTTGGCGTTGAAGATCGTTTGTTTTGTTTTGGAAACTTCCCACTTAATCAAAATCCGATGCGTCAATAAGAAGACTTAACTACTTTTGACTAGAATGAACCACCTTTTACAAATTCCGGATAGGCCACGGCCAATACGGAAGAAACTCAATTCGCACTTTCAAAGACTCAAATAGCGCGAACTTCATAAAAACCAGGAAACTCTACGAGTTTAAAATTATCGATAACTTTCGTTAACACAATAAAACCCGGTGGATTTTGAGGATCCTCGTGCCTGATCCATTTTGGGTGTACAGTTTAGAACTAGGTGTCTATTATAAGGAAGGGGAACTGAGTCTTAAACACCGGCAAATACGGTAGTACTTATATCCTGACACGACCATACGGTGTGTGTTTAACAACCTTCTCCATAAAAGTGATATCAGAATTTTAATAACTTTTGGTAATTTAAGATACGGCACGATAAAAGTGGAAAAAGACAAGGTGAAATAAGATTGACAAACCTGTGATGACAAGATTAGTTTCGGCTTCACACTTAACAATTTTAGAGAGAAACAAAAACAAAACAAACAAAAAAAGAACGATTTTCCCTAAATCTTAGTTAGTAGCTGAGATGAACGTACCTAAACACCAAATCGATTTTGACGCAGTATTGTAAGTTGGAAAGGTGGAACATGAATGACTTAAAAATTATTCAGAATTGGGTCTCATAAATAAACAAGACCACATCGAATTGTTTTAATATTTGATATATAAATTATTTTTTTAAGTACAGTTCTCATCCTTTGAAAATAATATGATTGATAAAAGCTGTTAACAGCGTCTTAAGCTCTGAAGAGGAAGATAAAACGTTTATAGGGTAATTTTTTTTTCTTCAAGGAATGCAAACAATATGAACTGCAGATTCGGTCGTGAAGCACTGCAAGATTTTCCTTTCAGAAAGAGTGCAAGCAAGGATAGATAAGAGACTCCTTGCAAATGCATGTTTTACAAGTCCGAAGTAACGAGGACAAGAGAAGTAAGGAGAAGATGTCTGGCGGGCGCGGTGCCGGGGGGGGGTCGGAATTGGACCGCTTTGGGGCGCGAGGGCGGGGGAAGAGGTGCACCGATCGCCCCATGACAGGCGGCCAAATGCCGGCGCCCCAGCGCGCCGCCCGCCCGCCCAACGGCCCGCGCGGCGCCCCCGCGATCAATACGGGCAACAGCTTCGCCCCCTCGCATCGCTCCCGCGGTGGCCCTGCACCGGCCGTGCAACGCGCCCGCTCGCCCGCCCGCCCACCCGCCTGTTTCTCTGTCGGTGTGCAGCACGCCGCCCGGCAGCGCCCAGGGGCCGCACCGATGGCACAATCGACGATGGCGCCAGACGGCGTCGCGGAGGCGTGGCAGCGCGCGGGGACGGCGCCGGGGCGGGGCGTGCTTCCGAGGTCCCTCGTGTGAATACGACACGACGCTGCCCGTGTTGAACACGTTGGACTGGCATAAGTGGACACGTCATCTCTTGGCTTATAGGATGGGAACCCCGACCTACGGGGACTTCCCTGAGAAGCAAGGTCAAGGAACGGCTTCCTTTCGCATTCGTCTGCAATAATGGAGCCGTAAGACACCGACGCAATCAGCCGCCTCCGGAATTCTTTTCCGTGCACGATCTCTTTCACAAGGATCTTCAGCATATAAAGCTGTAATTCTTCTTTGATGCTTTTTAAGTATCTAATGTGCAATAGAACACTTTTCATTGGGCGATGTTCCAATCAAGAATGCCTCCCACATCGGATGTCAGACTGTCATACTACTCCTGTCAGGATTCCGACCATTTTGAGTGGTTAAGCCGTCTTCCCTCAAATCGAAGCTCATTTAAAGCTCTTAGAGTTAAAAAAGAGCAAATGTGGGACTAAACCATTTCTGAATACCAAACATATACGTACAAATAGTTAGAAATTGAAAACGGTTTTTGAAATAATTATTTAGTTTTTAGTCAATTTTTACTAGTTTTTATAGTTAATTTTTATTATTATCTAACTTTTATATATAAACGTCTAAATGGCGAACGTTTTAGTCTTTTTGTAATTTTCTCTGAGAAAACTTCAGTTTTTGAGGTGGCAAACCTAAATTAATTGAATACATCACCCTCAAACAGCAGAGAGAACCGATGAACAAAACACCTTTTTTTCCTGAACCGGATAGTACCATTTGACTAGACCAATTGTCCCAAAATCGCCAATAAAGGAATCCTGTGAACCTTTTTCGACAATTAATGTCGAAAAGCAAATGATAAACCGGCTATGTAATCTCAAAGTCAGCATTATACTTGTCTGCAGCGACTCTAACCGGACGGTCCTACTGTTCAAGGGTTCAACAATTTGACAATAGATTTTTGACACTAGCTAGTATACAAGATCGAATTCACGAAATTCTAGTGACAGGATGCTCGGTCGGTAGTATTCCGTGGTTTCTCCGATCAACACCACGCGAATGCCAAAGCAATACCCTACCAAACGGGCCACGGATCTCGCGCGATCTTTCTTTCCTCTTCCTTGTCCTATCCTCACCCCTCATTTCCACACACTTTCACTTAAACGCACTACATTTCCACACATCGGGTGAGCAGTCGTGAACTTAGAGCTTTGTCCCGCGCTGGGGCAGACATCTTCGTAGCAGGAGGCAACCGGCACCCCATAAGCCGACGTCGGCTGGCGACGGATCCCATAATCCTACGGAGGAGAAACGCCACTATCTCTCGGGATAAAATATACACTACACTTACGTCACTAATGACTACAGCAGTGGACAAGCTGGGAGACATCAATTATTCAAGATGATAATACAATTTGCATGAACTAAGTCATCAAACGGAGATCATTACTCGCAACAGACTAAATTTTACTTAAAGATTTATGAATATAATATATCTTAAAAGAAGATTTGAAGTGTACCTTTCTCACATCCTGGTGGCATAAAAATTGCTTTCCTTTGAACATAATTTTGTAGGTGAAATGACAAAATAATAGGGAGTACAAACCGCTCCAGCATGTTTGCAAAATGCCTTCATGAAATTAAATTGAATCTTTTCCACGTTACTCACCGACCACGATCCCTCCATGTAACTGTAATGCATGCCCAATGTAATTACGAATAACTGTCAAAATAACC